TCTGTCTGCAGCACGTTTCCTGCATGTTTTAAACCATGAACACAGCTGATTTTTTTAATGTAGTGATGAATCACTCCAGTAGGCACTTAGGAATGCTGGGAGACATTTCAGCGTTTAGATTAAGGTGTTAAAAAGATGAACGCACAGAGAGAAGATAGTTTCACTTCTACAAACGGACACTAGGGGGTGTTAAAAGCAAGCAAAACTGCTGAGTATCCCTTTAACTGAAGGACCATCAAAGTCACGCTGAGGTTTCATGCTTTCTGCTCCACATGTAACAACATTTACCATAGTGTCTTTTTAACTAGCGACAGTTTTGGTCATAGACATGAATACGTAGACACCCCATTGGGCGTTGGAGAGCGTAACAGCGTTGCCGCCACATTGGATGGGTCACTTCACTCTCCAAAGTCAATGCAGAGTGAGCAACTATAGCCGTTTTTGTGCAGCCTACGGTTGCAATAACCTGCGTACTATTGAAGACAGATCACGTGGGATTACTATTGACTTTTCTAGGCTACCTGATGGGATTTTATATTTTAATTTATTTTAATGTATTTTGTCTAATTAAAATTTGTCGTACCATGTGTCGGATTTTGTGAAAAAGCTCGATAAATTGTGTTTTTTAGTTGGATAAGCATCTTCCTCAGAAGAAATTAATGCACTGGAGGTGAATGGAGAACCATCTAAAATGGCGGCCAGCCACTATGGTAGCTCCAATAGGCAACGCCAGTACATGGGGTGTCTATGTATATGTCTGTGGTCACAGAGATATTGTGTAAAACTACCCTGAAATGTATGTACTGCCCCTAGTGCCAGGAAACTACACACTGCCACTTAAGGAGTTAAGTCTAATTTATACTTCTCCGTCAGCTCCAGGAGGGAGAGACACGCACGCACGGATGGAGATATTTTGCCTTCATACTTCTCCGTCTCCTAGGGAGTGTTGCAAAGCAAATCCCCGCCAAGACAGCAGAGGGCGTAGCGCTGTTCTGTGATATCCTGTCATGTATCCAGTCCAAGATAGCGTGTTTATATTGTGTGTTTTTTTCTTTTTTTTGTATTTAAGAGACTTTTTAACACGGACAAATTTGTCCCTCATTCTCCTCCCCCTCTTCATACATTCGCCACCTCTAAACCCAGTTTTCCTATAATTTCCATCCATGAATAAAATTGTTGCTTGCTTTTCTCTCCTCCAGTCATGGGGGAATAAAGCGTTCATATTTTAGAGTTTTTCCGCGAGGTATTCTTCAAGCTGCTTCTTGTCTGCCGCTAGATATCCTCGTCTCTCTTTGTTTTAGAAGGCGCAATGGCGGCGGTGTAGACGACAGCAGTGTCCTGACCAATCACAAGCTTGCGTTCTGTCTCGACGGACGGATATTTAGAAAAGAGAGCTCGACTCAGTCCATCCTTGCGACGGCTCTCCAGCAGGCTCACAAGGACGGATAATGGTGTTGCGTACGTCCGTCCCGACGCAGACGAAGGAGTATAATTTAGGCTTTACATGTAACATTTTCACATTATCAAGATGTTGGTTTTTAGCCTAGTTGATGCTTCTGCGTCAGCTCCATGAGGGAGAGATGCACACGCACTGACAGAGGCTTTTTGCTCTCAGACTTCTCCATCTCCTGGGGAGTGTTGCAAAGCAATTTTCTGCCAGGGCAACAGAGGGCATAGTGCTGTTCTGGGGTACCCTGTCATGTTTCCGGTCCAAGATTATGCATTTACTATTGTGTTTATATTGTGCTTTTTGTGTTTTAGAAACTTTTTAACATGGACACATTTATCCCTCTGAGGGCTGGGCGATATGACGATTTTAGACCGTTTTACGATCTACACATCTGACGGTCTGTCATTTTTGAGAGACCTTTTTATCACGATTCACAGCTCTGCTGTTGAATTTCTGCCTCTGAATGAAAAGGGAACTTACCTCAGGCGAATGACACGCCTTTGTTTGACCCTTAACCAATCAGAGTGAGTCATAGTAATATATTAGTTCCCCGCTTGTTTTCACCTGTGTGTGAACAAACATGGCTTCGGCCGCGGCTGAGCGACAACGAGGTTTTCGTTCCGAAGAGGAACGCAGGGTTTCCTTAGCGCGCGGCGCTAACAACTTAGCGACGTGACATGTCTCGGAGAAAGCGTAAAAATACATTGGACGCTTCTTCTGAAGCAGGAAAATAACACTTCTTCTTAAGCAGAGCACAACGTCGCCTCGGCTCGTCCACCCTCTGCCGAGCCGGTGTCGGTACCGGACTGAGCTCGGTCACTGAGTCGTTGGAGCTGCCCCGTGACTGCCTGATGGAAAACCAGCGGGTTTCATCAGACTCGTAGTTTCTTGTTTTTGGTGGGGACCTCCTGTATTTTACCGCTCCCTCCTGCAGTCTTCCCCTATTACAATTTAAAATGATTCTGTTAATTCGTGTATCAATAGAAACAATCTCTGCCTCTGCCAGCTGCAGTAAATGTAGTTTCCAAATAATAAGAGGTGCATTCATCTGTTTATCTCCTTTGATCCGCATTAGTGATATTTTCAGCACCAGAACAGTGAAGCAAAGAAAGATTCCTGAGTTTGTTAGTAATTTTATTTATTAGGTGCATCTAACCTGTTCTATTTTTCTCTGAAATGAGATCAAATCAGTGCTTCTATGGGTTGTCTCCAATCTGCACGGGAAAATTTTACTTTATTTAGAGACTTGTTGCAGAAAATATTCAGAATGCGCAGTTTTTTGCTACCACAAGCGATCTCTGGTCCAGCCGCACATCAGAGCCGTATTTGAGCTTAACTATCCACTACATGAGCAACTGGGAGCTACATAGTATTTTGAACAAGTTAATGTTTGCACAATACGTTTGCAATTGACATGTTTGCACTTTAAATATGTTTACGATTTTAATTTATGTTAAGTTACTTGAAAAACGAGAAAAACTGATTTTTGTAATTGTATCTCTCAGGGCTTTTATCATCTCTGGTGTGGGTTTAAAATATAAGTGTGTTAGCACTGTGCTGATTATCCCTAATATGAATAAATGTTTATTTATTCAATGTTTCTCTTCTTTAATACGCAATTGAAGTTATGCTATTCATGGATAAAAAAATCGTGATAAAATCAAAATCGTGATAAAATATAGGAAAAATCGTGATATTCTATTTTTGCCATATCGCCCAGCCCTAATCCCTCATCCTCCACCTCCTCATGCGCTCGCCACCTCTAAACCCACGTTTTCTGTCATTTCCGTCTACGAATAAAATGCCTGCTGCATATCTTTTCACTCCTCCAGTCACGGGTGAAGAAAATGTTCATATTTTTAGAGGTTTTTTACAAGGCAATCTTCCAGCTGCTCCATGCCTGATGCTAGGTATCTTCAGCTCCTTTTATGTTTTTGAGGGCGTTTTGGCGGTGCTGTTGACAAAAGCGGCCTCCTGACCAATCACAAGCTTGCATTCTCCATCTCGTTGGACAGATGTTTAGAAAAGTGGGCTCGAGTCCGTCTGTCCTTGTGAGCCTGCTGGAGAGCCCTCACCAGGATGGATAATGGCGTTGCGTGTCTCCGCACCGACGGAGATGGAGAAGTACAAACTAGGCTTTTCACATTTGTTTTTTGTACATGTTACTCCCATCTTTCTAAAATGAATCAAGAGAGGAGAGCACAGCAGCAAGCAATTATCCGAACAGATGAATATTTTCAATTCCAAAGTTTTGTTTCATAACCAAAACATCCCTTTTGTCACATGGAAACAATTTTGGCCAAAAAACGAGATTTCTGGTTATAATATCTCTCAGGAGGATGGACATGTTCTGACATGCTTCAAGAACCTACAACCTTTGGCAAAAATACTGATGACACTCTGCCCTCTGCTGGATAATCACAAGATGTAAAAACAGAGAACCAACATTTCCAGTTCAGACACTGACAGGTTCCTGTTTGTGTATTTGGGAGAAACTTTTATTCAAAACAACTTAAAACCGATGCCGTTCATCTTGATTTATCAGCTCTCCTACTTTAGTCCTGCACTGTTTCTGTTATGGCTGAAGAGTTAGCTGCTGTTGTCTCCCGCTGCTACTCACCTGAGTGTCACACTAAGTAAGGCGATATCAGTTATGTGGTACTAGAGTACTTCTATAAGTATGCGTATGAGTACATGACCATAGTATCGGACTGATACCCGATACTTGTGTCTGTATCGAGGCTCCCTTGACATAGGTAAACTGTAAGCAACTTAAAGATCACTTTTACTCATATTTCTAACTTTTGCAGTGGTCTCTATTAGGAATTAACACTTTGTAAGTCATACTCTAGGGAAATAAAGCTCTGGAACTTGGACATAGGAGTCAGCTGGAGGAAAAAGTAGCCTTAGGCAACAGGATCTGGACACTTATTGCCTGATATTCAGACATCTTGCCTCTGATTGGCTAACAGCAATGTGACTATACCACTGACTTACAACGCTGATGTTTTATCTCCAAAAATAGTGCAAGCCTGGAGGAGCTTCTGCCATGTGGTGGGATTGCTAATGCTAACTGTTAGTTTCTAGTAGTCGAGATGTTTTCTGCCATTTCCTGGATTTTAATCAACAACAGCCTTCCCTGTCACAGGTCAAGATGGGTGAGTCCATGAAGGTTAAGTGACGGTGTGACGTAGATCTGTCAGGCTTTTCTGAACCGAAAGTTTTCAGTCTATTTTCAGTCAGACGCTAATGCAGGAGATAAGTGTAAAAGACTATTTTCACGTTCAGCCTGCATGTCAAACTCAGAGTGATCAATTATTTAAAAAAAAAAGTAAAAACGGTTTCTTAGTAAAAATGATAATTGAAATTAGGGCTGACTCTGCTGCATTTTTAAGATATCAGCTAAATCATTTTCTTCTTGGATTACACATCTTTGCTTGCATTTTTGAAATTTATTGGAAAACTGTTAAAGATTAAAGGATGCCCATAAGTTAGACTTACTTATCTATTCCTAATGAAACAGCAAACTTAAGGGGACAGCCGTCTTTACCTGCTACTCCAACTTGATGAGTAGCAAACCCTGGCAGTCTGCTTTCACCTCCTCCCAGCCAGAGAGCCAGCATGGCATATTCACCTCTGGCATGATGAAAGGTGAAGCCATGAGACGAGGCAGCAGCAGCACATCGACTCAGTGACATGGGAACTCGTAGCCACACTGCCATCCTCCCTTCTGCTTTCCACTGGGATAAGGAATCTGACATAAATATAAATATATTAGACATTAGAAAACATCTGCCATCTTTTCATTAATTTCATCACTATAATTTTGTTATATGTGGCATGTGCAATGACAAATAATGTATCTAATAGTTTTTATGATTTGCCCAAGCTATTAAAATAAATATTCACAAATAAGAAAAAATTTAAAAAACACTTATGACAAAAATTACCCTTGCGCACATTGTCTTAAATCAATCACCGAAGCCCAAAAAATCAGGAAGTGTTTATGTTTATTCATTTAGCAGACGCTTTTATCCAAAGCGACTTACAATTCATAACCTATAGGGCATGATGTGATCTGTGGGGGAAACCGGAGTACCCGGAGGAAACCCACGCATGCATGGGGAGAACACGCAACTCCACGCAGAAAGGTCGCAGCCGAGTTTCGAACCTGCAACCTTCATGCTGCTAGGCAACAGTGCTAACCACTGTGCCACCATGCAGCCCAGGAAGTGATCAGAATTGGACAGAAAAGGATCAATACAATTGGCTTAAATGTTTGTCGGCCAACCTAAGACAACAAACAGACAAAAGCAAAAACTGTTCTTTTTGGTCTGTGAACACATTAGCCTGGCAAGCCATCCTATATACAGTTTATACATATAGTCTGGCCATGACACACACAGACTACACACTTATCTCAGTCATGGTTTGGGATCTATAGTTGCCTTTCAAGCTGTCTCCTCATGCTATAGGACAACAAAAAACGTGACAGTCAGTCAACAGGGCAGTCCACAATACACTGTTGAAGCAAAGGCAAATACATCCTTTTTCTACATTAAGGACTTAAGTACCTCTATCCGCTCTTGAGTCAAAGAAAACCTGAGTCTAAATAGTCCAAAGTTGATGCCACAGCCGTTTGAAAACAAAGCCATTGCCATCTTAGCTTTGCTCAGTCGCAGTAACATCCCGCCCACCAAACCAATGAAGCACTGTGATTGGCTCACTAAATCGATAGAGCGCTGTGACTGGCAAACAACCAGACTGGTCAGGACTGCAGAGATTCCAATGGAGGCTGGCTAGACCAAAATGCAGGGCAAAATAATTTTGCTTCTGCTATGGTCTGTCTAGATTTCTAATCTATGAACACACTGTTTCCAAGTAGCATTTAAAAAATTATTAAAATAAAAAAAAATTTCTCCAAATCTGTGACATCGTCATCACCATGTCCCAGTTCAAGTTAGCAGTTACACATTTTTCTTTAGGAAGTTTAACTTCCACAATCATAATTTTCACATTAATAAAAATTTAAAGTCAATTTGATATATTTTTTTATTTATGATTCTTTGAGATAAATCTGAGCTGGCTAAAATCAACATCACTAGGCTCTTTCTGTGCAAGCATTAGAAATCAATATCAGCCTTTTAAACCAGAATCTGTGCATTATTACTGATTATAGGTTGATCAGTGCAACTAAGATGATCAGCACAATAAGCATTCTTGAATATATGTTTCAGTTTGGTTTTTAATTTCTTTATTCTGATTCTTCACATCATTTGTGTGCATGGGTTTTTAGAATGAGAAGACTACTTCTTTTTTTATCTTTTATTTGTAGAAATTTGTGCCTTCAAGAAGAAGAAAATATATTTTCTATAGCACCTCTCAAGATAAAAATCACAAGGCGCTTCACAAAAACAAAAATTGTAAAAATATTAAAAAGAATTTAGAAAATGGTAAAAAAAATATTTAAAATGAGCAAAAAATAGACATTTGTGATAAAAAAATGTTAAGAAAGAGAGAGATAGTGAATAGGAAAGAGGGAAATCAGTGGATCCTGAGGAAGGAGGAATAGGTGGGGAGAGCAGAATAAAGAGAGAGTGGTGAAGAAGGTCATACAAAAGCCACCTCGAACAAGTGAGTCTTCAGCAGCTGCTTTTTAAAGTAGACCACTGAGTCCACTGATCTCAGGCTCAGGGGGAGAGAGTTCCAGAGTCTGGGGGCCACAGCAGCAAATGATCTGTCACCTTTGGTCTTTAGCCTGGTGCTGCACAACCAGTAGGTTTATATCACTGGACCTCAGGGACCTGCTGGGGGTGTAGGGACTGAGAAGATCACCAATGTAAGATGGTGCTTGTCCATGTAAGGCCCTACAGACCAGAACCAGGATCTTGAAATAAACCCTGAAGTTGACTGGCAGCCAGTGAAGCTAGAGGAGAAGCGGGGTGATATGGGTGTGTTTGGAGGACTTGGTCAGAAGCCGAGCACAGGCATTCTGAACCACCTGTAGACGGTTCAGGGAGGTTCTGCTCAGACACGTGAAAAGAGAGTTACAGTAGTCTAAGCGTGAGGAGATGAAGGTGTGGAGAACTGTCTCAAGTTCAGAGCGGGACAGAATGGGACTCAGCTTAGCAATGTTCCTGAGATGGAAGAAGGAAGAGCAAACAAGAGAACTGACATGAGGATCCAGGGTGAGAGCTGGGTCAAAGGTCACGCCAAGATTCCTGACAGAAGGTTTGGTGTGAGAAGCAAGCTGACCAAGAGAGTCTCTAACTTTGGGAACCAGCTTGTCTGGGGCACAGATGATGATCTCAGTCTTATCTTCATTCAGCTGAAGAAAGCTCCCAGCCATCCAGGTTTTGATAAAGTCTAAGCAGGTGTGTAACAGCTGCAGCTTAGACATCTCATGGGGCTTAAAGGAGATGTACAGTTGGATGTCATCTGCGTGAATATGGTAGGAGATTCCTTTGAAGGAGCTCAGGATGTGCTGAAGAGGAAGCAGATAGAGGAGAAAGAGCAGAGGCCCCAGCACAGAACTTTGTGGGACACCATGGGCAAGAGAGGTAGTGGAGGACCTAAACTAGGAGACAGCCAGGAGCACTCAGAAAGATACGAGGAGAACCACTCCAGAGCAGATCCTGATAGAGCTACAAAAGCCACACTGTTCAAACCTTTTCTACATTATTCTATAATAATAGCAGACTGCAATCAACCTTGTTTGGGATTTGTGAAACCTTTCCCTGATTTGTGAAACTTCAACAAAGCCTAATTTATGCGTTTTTTCAGCATCTGGCCAACACTGGAACAGCTGTAGCTCAAGAAGTACAGCCCCTACACTATTCAAACCTGTTCTACATTATTCTACAATAATAGCAGATTGCATGGCAGCATTTTAATTATCAAGTACAGTTGTTTAATGTTTTATGTCATCTTCTCTACAAAAATTTTGGGTAAAGGTCTTTCTTTAATAGGGATAATTGTCCAAAGTAAAAAAACTCCAAAAAGGGCAGGAAGCCAAAAGCATACATCCAAAATCCTAATGCGTAAAATCCTAGAGGTCTAGAGACCAAGTGCTCCTTTAAAGAGCAGACCTGGAGATTTCCAAAAACCAAGAGACCAAGAGAGGGAACGAGACAACGCTGACACAAACAATGGACCAACACCAGACAGAGACACAGACGGGGTTAAATACACTGGGGAAGGATGAGAGGGAGATGAGCTGCAGGTGTGTGGGGAGAGGAACCTAGTGAAAACAATTAACTAATCAGTGAGGGGAGAGTAACTTGACCTAAGAGTAAAAATAAAACCTGAAGACAAGAAGATAAAGATAAACAACTACTGATCTGAGGAGAACTAGAAAACCAGTGGAGAAAGAAACACTAAAAGAGACTAATAAATGAAAAGCTGAATAGGAAAAAACTACAGAAAGAAAAACTACAGAGGTGTGACTAATGGAGACATTGGGAGCAACTGACCTGGGGGGATACCTGGGGAGGGGGAAAACCTAGAGGGGCTGTAGATCAGGGAATACATGAGGAAGATGCAGACAAGGACACATGAGGACGCTAGAAGACATATAAGGAGAACCTAGAGAGGGATGGAGAACACAAGGAGACTCATGAGGGAGACGCAGACGCAGACCATGACACCTACGCATAAAAATCCTAACGCATTTTTTTCATTTTCAAGTGGATGGAAGTGAGCATTTGTGTTGAATAGTAGCAAGTGTTTTCAGTATTACAGTATATTAAATTCACCATAATAAGAGTAGCTCATGTTTACTCAAAAGCGAGTATCAATATTAAATAATTAGAATACACGTTTCATATACATCCCATGAGACAATTTAAAAATTTCTTAACATTTCTCACCTTACTATTCGAAGATGCATTAAAAGTACATCATACACACTTTAGCCAAATGAACGTCCAAGTAGCTTCCAAAAGATATTCGTCAAGTATGATCGTCTACTTCGCCGAAGCCCACACACAAATGTTTACTACCGTAACTGTTTGAATGCTTGCGCAACCTTCGTTATTCCAATGGTTTCAGAAAGGTGACACTCCATGCTTTTCAGAGGTGAACGATACATTACGGTTATATGACGGAGTTCCTGTCTGAGAGCTGGCCCGGGAGAAAAAGACTAAGCCGTTAGAACAATGGAGGGGCGGAGGAATTGTTTTGGAGGCGTATTTGCAAGATAGTCGGACTATCCTTGCTCGTTGACATGTGCTACTATGGAACATGCGCAGACCGATTTTTCAAGGCTTTGTTGAAGTTTCACAAATCAGGGAAAGGTTTCACAAATCCCGCACTGTGTTTTATTTGATCTGCTTTCACAGTAGAATAATCTAGAACAGGTTTGAACAGTGTGGCTGTTGTAGTTTTTGAGCTAGAGCAGATTAAAGATGGTCAGAGTAGAGAAAAATTGGGTGTAATGGCCCTTTAGCCGTTTCCCAAACCGGAAGCTGGAATCGGAAGCTAACTTCAGCCTCGTCCTGCTGCAAGGGTCTGCAGAGGCTGTCAGGAGGAGTCTCTTGACCCAGAAAGGGTGTTAACAAGCTACCCATCTGATCCTGCAAAGTGGTACCAAACTGATGACAGGATGCGTGAGTAATTGCACTAAACCATCCCTCTCAAAATATTGGATATTTCTCTGCATCACAGAGGAAATCTGGAGTCATAAACTGAGGCTTAACCAAGGAACATTTCTTTAGACGTGTTTCTGCTGTGATTGAGGCCTGTGATGCTGGAAAGCTGAAGATTATCCCGGAGTGGAGAATGCTAAATGGTTTCCTTGGTAAGTGTTGCTGGTTTTATTAAAAAGAAATTAAATATTTTTATTAATGTTCAAATAGCATAACAAACAATAAGTTCACATTCAGAAAATTGACACAGAATTTCTGATTCAGCAGAGGCAAAAACAGCCTGAAGGAACATAAAGCAAGGGGGCTAAAAAGGCAGCCTGCCTAGTGTAGTCCATTTATTTAATCCGGCTCTGCCAGGGACACCGTCTGACTGCAGAGTTAACGGATGTCAGAAGATCCTTTAGGTGCAGCAGATGGACGTGGAGATGGGTTTTCTTCCACAAACGCTCGATTTTTCTGCATTGGCACTTCAGGCTGCGAAGGCTGTCATTAAACCAGGGAGTAGGGTTCACTGCAAGAACTGATCTGGTTCTGACAGGACAGATGTTGTCCAGGATGGAGGCAGTGCTCATTAAACTGAGAAGTTAAGGAATCTGGGTCGTTATCAGAAGAACAGGGTGGATCAAAAGCAGCAGAAAAATTGCTAGCTGCACTCTCGTTAAGAAAACGAGAACTAACCATACGGCGAGCAGGTGGTGGGGACGCAGAAACTGACAAGTTAAAGAAAATGCCATGGTGATCTGAAATATAAATGTCCTCAGGACAACCACTGTCAGCATTTAGACTCAGGGTAAAAACAAGGTCCAGAGTGTGCCCCCTGGTGTGTGTGGGGCCAGAAACATGCTGGGTAAAGCTGAAGGAGTCCATAAGGAAAGTGATCAGAGGGATCATCAACGTGGATGTTAAAGTCACCAACAATCACCAGTCTGGACAGCTTCACAGTGGAGCATAGGAGGTCACTAAACTCCTGAAGGAAAGAACTGTTTGGACCAGGTGGACGATAAACCACAGCACAGTAGAACGAGTTCTTACGCCCGACTTTAATCAGCTGCAGTTCAAAGGAAGCAAAGTGACCAGAGGTTGTAGAGCTACATGGAAGATGGTCTCTGAAAACAACAGCTAGGCCTCCACCATGACCAGAACCCGGGGCTGGCTAAGAAATGAATAGCCACTCGGGCAAAGTTCAATCAGAGCAGAATAATCAGATGTTTGCTGCCAAACTTCAGTCAGAAACAGAAAATCCAGGTTTTTAGAGAGAATTAGATCATTAAGCAGGAAGGACTTATTAACAGAGCGGGTATTTAATAGAGCCATGCTGAGTGAGGTGGAGGAATCACAAACTACAGAAACAGCTGGAGTTAGTGGACATAAATTAGTAGGGTTAGATCCACGGTGTTAATAAAAACCACTTATGGAGGGAACAAGTTGGGAGCTACCAACCAAATTTTGTTATGCAAGTGCACGATGACCACAAGAAAGTCCTCTCTACTTGGATGATGAATATCCTGTTGTTTCCATGCTTCAGCTTCACTCAATTATAATTAGAGTTCAATTAAATTTCAATTATTTTACAAGCCTAGTTATACTTAGGACAACACATTGTGTGTTTTCTTGTTATATGAGTTAGTTAAGCAGGGACCATGTTGTAGTTGTGCTTTTTAATAATGATGATCTTATAACTAGCTGTGGAAATCCTGCTCTAAATGAACTGATAATACATCATCTATAAGCATCTGCTGTGTGACAGAAACACAGATTACTGGTGTGTGTGTGTGTGTGTGACTGTGTGTGTGGCAGGTTAATGATTTAGTGAAAATACAACATCATTCTGTAAATCCACAGCAGCTTAACGAACCTCTCAATAACCTGCTGAATGCATCTTCGCTGATGTCCGCCGGAAGTCCCACCTCAGCTAAATCTACAGTAACTCCACCGAACCGATCCACTTTGCCAGCCAAGCCGCTGTTTCCTCCTACTTTGTGTAGCTGAGAACAGCTTAAGGCGCACCACAACCTACGAACTCTCGTCTGCGCACAGCTAGAAACTTTACAGCAAACCTGTCCTCTTATCAGAGACGAGAGCCTGGAGAGGAAAACACAGCCAGCCATGTTACAGTACAGCTAGAAACAACCGACTAAAGGACAAATATCTGCAGATTGCCACCGGCATATGTGCACAGTGTCCATTACAGTTGTATAAGTCTACACTGGAAATTACATAAATACCGTAATGGTTAGTTTAGAAGGTCAAGGAAAAGCGAGTCGGTTTGACTAATTAAATTACCATTACTTTCCTATTGATTCGTTATTTTTCCAACAATTGCACTTACTCCAAACGCAAGTTCCTAATATGCCGCTTTAAAAACGATGCAAACCTACTATTAATATTTTAAATCGCGTATGAATTCTTATTCAAATATGACACAAAACTACCAAATAAAGAAATCGTTAAAAAGCTGTATGTGACATTAAATGTATCCTGAATCCAAGACAGGAGGTGGACCATATTTTTAACTCATTTATACTTTAGATTTTTTTGTATTAAAAGTGAAAAAACAAAAAAAAAAAAAAACCTAAGAAAGTCTATTTTTTTACAAAGTTTGTTACTTAAAAAACCAACACGTTCTCTAATTTTATATTTTTCATAAACTAAACAAAAACATTTTTTGGTACGTGAAAAATCTTAAACCAATTTTGCTAACAAATCCCACGTTAGCTCACGTACGTGAGGTATTACGGTAATCGGAGGCGGGGTTAAACTTTAACCAGGAAGTTGTTGCACTGCTCCGTGTTTACACATGTTGAGACTTTCACGTGGAGACTTTTGTTATTTTTAAAATGTCTTCAAAGAAAAGTAAAAGTAAACCAAAAAAGTTGAGCGAAGGAGATGACTCGGTCGTACTGAAGAAGAGCTCAAATGAGTCAAACTCGCGAACACCTGGCCCTGACGAAGGAAGCTGCAAAAGTTCCAACTGCAACTCCTTCTCTGTCATCGATTTCATAGAGAAAGGTGAGACTTGAGACACGACCGTGGTATTTTATTACTATCGTGAATGTTAAGACGTTTAGAAAATGAAGCTGTTTGCAGAGTAAAGATGAAGAGTGCATCTCGGTGCGCTCGCAGCAGCAGCTTTATGTTGCTATTCTCTGATGCATTTTGTCCATTTTACCTTTTAAAGAATCTTGCTTAAAAATATACATAAAATATTATTTCGCCACTATTTGTACATATTTGTTTACTTGTGCTCCCGTTGTTTTGAGAAAAAAATCTTGCTCAAATGTTACAAGTAAAAAACACACAGTTACAAAATGTTTCAAAAATAGACATAATTTTGAAAAGTTGTGGTACTAATTCATTCCACATTTGATAGCGATTTTAATTAAATCGTTTTCTTGTTTTGTGGTTGACAACATTTTATTTATTTCCCTAACAGCTGATGACAAAACACCCAAAAGCCGCAGATCAAATTTAGCCCAAATGAGCTTCAATTCAATGAAGAGCGCCAGCGTTTGCATCGCTAGACCGGTCCTGCTGACGAGCCCCTCAGGACAACAGGAGGTACTTTCTTTTAAACGCCCATCATGTCTGCTGTTTAATCTTAAATAATCTGGCTCTATGACATCTGATATGAACCTTCTGTTGTGTGGTTTGTCCTCCAGGTGTGTGTAGGCTGGCCGGTTGCTTCCTTTCCAGGAGGAAAGGTTGGCCTACAGAAATGTGTCCAGACCAATCTGAGAGTAAAATCAGGAGAGGTGGTGATGCTGCAGCCCATCACTGGGCCTGTGCTGCAGATTGAAGAGGTTGTTCTCTCTAATAAGTGAGGCTCTTTTTTTCTTCTGCAGTAATAATTATACATGATCAAGTGGAAACAATGATACGAAACATGCCTTCTAGAAGAAAGATATTAAAATTTTCCTCTTTTTTCATTGATGACTTTTTTTATAGGGATGTAACAATGTCCAAATCTCACGATACAATAATGTCGCGATATGAACCTCACGATACAATATCTATTACGATATTGTGTGGAGGCTCACAATAATGAGACTCACAACATAAAATACTTTCATTGGTCATTGCTACATTTGTCATTAACTTTATTATCATTATGACATTTTGAACAGCCTGAAAAGCCGTGAAGTGCAAAAGTCAAGTAACAACTCAATAAATATTTATAAAAGAAATGGCAACACGGGTATGGAATTAACAGCCAAAAATAAAGGCATTATTAAACAGCCCATTCAAGAAATAAAAATACCCAGGCACTAAAAATACCAGGCTGTGTGGGCTGCTGGTGAACTGGTCAATGACATGGAAGCAAAGGATCATGGTCTATGTAGTTTACTTTGCTATGCTCCTGTGGAGCAGTGTGAAACATGTTATTTTTACCTCAAGACGTACCGTACAATATCGTGACAAGACCATGACAATATTGTGGCCATTTTACTATGGCGATATCACGATATTGCCAATATTGTTACAGCCCTATTTATTTATGTATTTATTATTTATTTAATCTCCTTAAACAAAAACACTTTTTAAGTGAAACATTTTTTTTTAGATGACAGCTTGTGAGAAAAACATTCAATAACATTAAAGTTTGCCTCCTCAGTCTGGTTCTGCTAGCTTATATAAAACGTTTAGAGGTTAATTTTTAGCTCAGAAAGTTCTGGTTTAGTCTTGCAAATTTATACTATCTAAAGATAGATAGATTCCCAGTGCAGTCTTGTTGCTTTTATTTATTTAGATTTACAATGCTTTACTGATGCTTATCAGATGTTGCAGATGCACTACAGCTGTTAAACTCTTACAGTCATTGTGTAAACTTGATATGCATTGAAAATAAAGTTCATAATCCTTATCAACTTAAATAGATGATGGAGCTGATGTCGCAGAATCATTACAAATATTTACTATTAGCACGTTTGTTGTGTAGTTTAAGTAGATGGCGCCATCTGCTGGAGACAGTACGTAACTGTAGTATTATAAATGACTTCAAGGAAGTTATACTATGACATGTTTATGCTTTTTAACGTCTAACATATTTATGTTCATTCAGGAAAAAGTTGTAGTATGCAGTAATTTTGAGATCTGTTGTTTTTTTAATAACATTAATTGTGGTCTTAATTTTACTGTTTTATTCAGATCTAAAGATGAAAAACTAGAAACGGATGATTTCAAAAGCTTCTTTTTGAGAACTCTGGGTGAGTACATGTTTTTTCTTCCTGTAGCACTAAATATCTATCAGATAAAAATTACATGATCTTTTCATTTTTATTATTTTCCAGTGTAACTATGTGCTATTAACATTTTTCAAGACAAAATAATTGTTTTGTGTTGTGATTGAGCCATTTTGCTGTTAGGTTTTGAAAAGGATTGAGTTCAAAGTTTTACATTTACTACTGTCAGTAAACTTTGATGTTTAAAGACCAAATTCACAGAGTAACCATTTTTACTTGTTCTTTTTGAAACATGATCAATCACTCCGAGTTAATATTCAGACTAAACCTGAAAATAGTTTTCTACCGGTTTCCTGCATTAGCCGCAGATAGAAAATAGACGGGGAAACGCTCGGACTAGAAGAGCCTGACGATGGCACATTATGTCACAGTAGAATTCTTGGACTCACCCATCTTGGCTTGCGACGGTGAAGGCTGTTGTTGGTTGTGTTCAGGAGAGAGCAGAGCACAGTTTGGCTAGTAGAAGCTAACCGTTAGCATTATCAACTCCACCATACGGCAGAACTCACGCTTGTGTTATTTGTGGAGATAAAACGTCAACATTGCAGGGAAACAGAGTCAGTGGTAGAGTCGTGTTGCTGTTAGCCAATCAGAGAAGAGATGTCTGCATATCAGGAAATAAGACTCCAAATCCTGCCGTGTTCTGCTCCCCTCCACTGTGGCTCACTTCTAGTTCCTGAAACAGGAGCACCAGAGCTTCTTTACTACAAAGAATGGCTCACAAGGCATTCATTTTAGGCTAGAGACTGCTGCAAATGCATTAAAAATACAAGTGAACTTGCTAACACTTCACAATTATTTAATACAATTTTACATTCTTTTTTATGGTGCAAATTTCTACTTTTTTCTGTTAATTTTTATTCAACCAGCCGATAACATCATCCTGCCTGGAAATGACATCTCTCTGAGTTATTTTGGCCGCATGTGCAGCTTCCGGGTGGAGACCATCAGAGGAGAAGACAGCATAACCCTCCAGAGACCTTCTCCTGCAACAGAAGTAGTTCCTGAGGCAGATGAGTCCTCTGTGATGGACTCCACATCAGCTGATCTCTCCTTGCAGCTGAGCACGCTCACTGTGGATGACAGCAATGAAGTGGCACCAGGCAGGCCTGGAGAGCCCGGTCCTGCAGCCAGCACCCCCCGCCGACTGGCCCCTCTTCTCTCACTTTCCTCACCTGCTGCTCCCTTCACTCCTTCCTCCAACTCCCAGAATCTATCCAGTGTAGGGTCAGCTGTCAGTCCAGAGAGCTCACTCAGCTCAGAGAAGTTGTCCACAGCACCCCCTGCTGGTTGTATAGGTAGTGACACCTTCTACTGCTTATCCTGTTCTTCTAAAGTCAAGTTTAAAAATAAAGAAGAGCAGCAAAATTCAGAGGCACAAGACCAAAGGCCAAAGGTTACATACAGCATGATTGGTGGTCTCAGCAGCCAACTGGACGCCATCAGAGAAACCATCGAGCTTCCTCTGAAACGCCCTGACCTGTTTTCCACCTTTGGTAATTTTCCACAGTCATTTAAATAAAAGATTTAAAACTGGAGCACTTTGCTGTTATGTTAGTTATTTTTATTTTAATTATTGAGCATTGTTGGATCCAAACAGGGATCCCACCTCCCAGAGGGGTACTTCTATACGGACCTCCAGGAACAGGGAAAACCATGATAGCACGAGCCATCGCTAACGAGGTTGGAGCTCACATGGTGGTGATCAACGGCCCAGAGGTCATGAGCAAGTACGACTCAGAGACTTGACTTTGGTCATTATTTACGGTGGGATCAGCTGTATAAGGCTGATGGCATGGCACAAAGTTGCAGCTTCTAAATTGATGTGGTGCTTCTCAATTTTGCAGGTTTTATGGTGAAACTGAGGCGAGGCTGAGACATATATTCACCGAGGCGTCTCAGAGGTAAACTCCATCAAACCATCTGGGCTCTTACATGAGCAAGTCTGATGGATTTTTACTGAAACGTGAAAATATCTGAAAATACTCAACAATCACACGTCTCTAGAAATTCCTCACAATTTAAGTAAATTTGCAAAGATCTTTAGACTACTTTTATTTTATACAGTGTTGATCATTATTGTTGGCTGTCAAAATGTGAAAGGTGGAGGCACATTGTATTTTTCCTGTGTGTTCTACAACATATAGGGTGCCTTACTGGATGATTTTTAATGAAAGGCTTCATTGGATGGACATCTGGCCCTGATTAACCTCTGAAGTCAATCTGCTTCAAGATGTCCGCCACATCCAACTGACCTTAGAAATCCCAAAAATGTTTTACAAATATTGATGAAAAGTGTTTGGTGGTAGCTGAGATCTGATCTTGAGATTTCTCAACATGATCGTAGTTGAAAACTCTGACATGAAAGGCTGTGGATGGGCCTTTAATGCATTAAATGTTATTTTCATGAAATAATGTTGATAATTTTGAGATTAACTCAAGCGACGCACATGTTCTAGCGGAAGAGGAGGTAGATAAATGACGTTCAACATTTCTGAGGCTGTTCTTGTTCTGACAGGCAGCCTGCGATCGTCTTTATTGATGAGCTGGATGCGTTGTGTCCAAAGAGAGAAGGAGCCCAGAATGAGGTGGAGAAACGAGTCGTTGCTTCTCTCCTGACTCTGATGGATGGGATTGGTTCAGTAAGTATATCAGTGCCCCCGAGGAGTTTTCTGGAGCCCTAAACTGTTGTGGCCTTCAAGCAGATGTTAATGCATTTTTGGTTTTGGGCTGAAACACCAAGATCACAGAAACAGACCGTCAGGTAAACCCCGTTTTGCTCTTTGCTTCATCAAAAATTCTAAAGTGAAGTTTTTCCCTGATTTAGTGATGCTGTTTTATTGCCATCGCTGGAATATTCGTATCAATTACGTGACGCACTTTCAGTTTCACGTCTACCACATCTATTCTGCTTTTTTTTCTTCTTTTGCATTCCCGCTACATCTGTCACTGTTAGCAGTGTTTGTATCATCCTTTCTACACCCACCATGTCCTGAACACGCTGTAATAAGCTTTGGATCGTGTGTGAAGCATGTTTACTCTCAGACTCTGTTGCTGCGCAGCTGCAATGTCACCTTATTACTCACTGAACGAGTGAATATCTTCATCAGAGGGTGAATATTGCTCTTCAGAGTCCGAGTCATATTATCAGACAAAGGGTGTTTCTCAATGTCAAGCTGCCTGACCTTGCGAGGCGATGTCTTGCGGGCAGAGGTGGAAAGAGTACTAAAATTTCCTACTTAAGTACGAGTACCAATACTTTGATAATTTTTTACTCAATTACAAGTAAATGTACTTGCCTAAATTTTTACTCAATTTAAAGTAAAAAGTATCGTAAGCAAAATGTACTCAAAGTAAAAGTTACTTAGTTACATTTTTTTCAGCGTAAGGATGGCTACATCTAAGTAGTGCTAAATCACAACGCCAGTTCACAATTCGCTCGTGTGTGTGTGTGCGCACACACACACACTCTCAAACACGCACAGCTTGAAGGAGGGATTTCTATCCAATCAGTGAGAACAGGACGTTCACATTGATTGGATGAGGTTTTTCTAGGATGGTGAGTTTCAATTGTGATTAAAATTATTCTTTATTTTGAAACAAAAAAAGTAAATTTTTAGATGCCATCAGTGTGTGAGGTATCTCAATGTTTTCATGACAAAACTCTAACATGAGACTGTGCTCTAACCTGTCACATAACAAGCTAAATGAAAGTCAAACATTTCAGATGGACCGTATGACAGCTGTTAACGTTGGCCCTGCCCTACTTTACCTCTACATTACAGTTCCTTTATCCATGTCCATCCTAGAGCTCCTCTCTGACCTTCATGCTTATTTAGAGCAGCTGATTTTTAAAGTTAGCAGAGTTCATCCTTGGTAGTGGGTTCACTCACTCATTTAACCCTTCACCACTGAAATCAGTTTGTTCATTCTAATCCTCCTAAATAATCCTCCAATCATCCAACTGGAATCCTTAAGGGTCCCGTAATGTCCATCCTCTCAGAACAGGCCTTGGGAGCCCAGGTGTTACTAGAACTAATGGTGTCTCCTCACCAGCGTGAGCCTCCAAACATGAACTTTAAATTCATACATTTATCTCCTCTTGTAACACTTTAACATGTTTTAAAAGGCTTGTATCATGATAAGTTACACCTCCCAGACCAAAGATAAGATAAAACATTATCGTAGATACTATTAAGATGTCATTATTTATGAAATAGAAGTTATTTTCCTGAGCCATTACTACAGCCAAGAAATAAGATGCATGGATTTGATGAAACCACGCTGTCTCATGCAGTTCTATATGTGTAACACACACACACACACACACACACACACACACACACACACACACACACACACACACACACACACACACACACACACACACACGCCCACACACACAGGGATGGAGCACAATGTTTACACCTGAACAGTATCAGGATGTTTTAACTCACAGAGGCCTGCAGGTCTTCTGTTTTATGAGCAAAGCGCTGATAATCCGCTTGTTAGGAGCGCTAAACGTCATTTTGCCGCTTCCGTGCGGAGCGGTAGAGAAACACAATTCAAACACGGAACAGAGTCCGGCTACCGAACCGAGCAGAATTCTGATGACGTTGCACCGGTGCGCGAAGGTGCGGGTTCCAACCCACAGGAGAGGAGGGAGAGAGGAGGTAAACAGCGAGTTGAGGAACTGAACTGATGTCTTTGAGCTAAAGTGTACACCCCCCCACGGTTTAGACGTGGTGCTCATGCAGGTGTCTCTTTCCGTTCCGATGCTGCTACACGTAATACTTTTAATTTATTAAGCCTATAATTTATTTTTACTCAGTAACGGATATGATTTAAAATGTAGCGAATTACAATTCTTTTTTAAAAACTTACTCAAGTAAAAGTAAAAGTACAGCTTTTAAAAACGACTTCAAAAGTATAAATATACAAAAAAGCTACTCAATTACAGTAACGTGAGTAAATGTAATTCGTTACTTTCCACCTCTGCTTGCGGGGAGCAGTTTTCAAACTCTATAAACTCCAAACTTTTCAAGAGAAACACCCAAAAGTTTTGCTCAGATTGAAGTTACACATTTCCACTATTTTCTGGTGTAAAGTAATGACTTCATGAGGAATTATATTTGCAGCTGTGGCTCGTTAAACGCAATATTGGGTGGTGGTGGCACAGGAGTTAAGTGCTCGCCTCGCAATTGGAAGGTTGCAGGTTCGAGCCCCGTTCAGTCTGTCGCTGTCGTTGTGTCTTTGGGCAAGACACTTAACCCATGTTGCCTGCTGGTGGTGGTTGGAGGGACTGGTGGCACCAGTGCTCGACAGCTTCGCCTCTGTCAGTGCGCCCCAGGGCAGCTGTGGCTACATTGTAGCTCATCCCCACCAGTGTGTGAATGTGTGTGTGTGAATAGGTGAATGACTGATTGTGTTGTAAAGTGCCTTAGGGGGTTCCAGGACTCTAGAAGGCGCTATATCAAATACAGGCCATTTACCATATTGCGACTTTGGTGCTTAAGGGGTTAATTTTAGTAAGTAAGTAGTGTGTATATTTTATTTATATAGCACTTATTGTAGGCATAGATTCACAAAGTGCTTCACATAGATTAAAACAAAATAAAACAAAGTCATAAAATCATAATAATCTCCTGCCAGTCCTTGGCAGACCTTTCAGTTATAAGTCTGTACATTTAATATTTTATTTATTTATAACTCCGTCCGTCCATCAATTTTCACCCGCTTATCCAGAGTCGGTTTGCGGGGGCAGTAGCCTAAGGCGAGAGGCCCAGACTTCCCTCTCCCCAGCCACTTGGGCCAGCTCCTCCGGGGGAATCCCAAGGCGTTCCCTGGCCAGGTGAGAGACATTGTCCCTCCAACGTGTCCTGGGTCTACCTTTAGGTCTCCTCTCGGTTGGACGTGCCCGGAAAACCTCACCAGGGAGGCATCCAGGAGGCATCCTGACCAGATGCCCGAGCCACCTCAACTGGCTCCTCGATGTGGAGGAGCAGTGGGACTACTCCGAGCGCCTCCCGAATGACCGAGCTTCTCACCCTATCTCTAAGGGAGAGCCCAGCCACTCTTCGGAGGAAACTCATTTCGGCCGCTTGTATCCGTGATCTCTTTCTTTCGGTCACTACCCAATGCTCATGACCATAGGTGAGGGTAGGAACGTAGATCGACCGGTAAATCGAGAGCTTCACCTTCTGACTCAGCTCTCTCTTCACCACGACAGACCGGTACAACGCCCGCATCACTGCAGATGCAGCACCAATCCGCCTATCGATCTTACGCTCCAGTTTTCCCTCACTCGTGAACTAGACCTTGAGATACTTAAACTCCTCCACTTGGGGCAGGACGTCATCACTGTCCCGGGGAAGGCATTCTACCCTTTTCTGAGTCAAGACCATGGTCTCAAATTTAGAGCTGATTCTCATCCCAGCTGCTTCACACTTGGCTGCGAACCGCTTCAGCGACAGCTGAAGATCACGTTCTGATGAAGCCAACAGGACCACATAATCTGCAAAAAGCAGAGACCTGATCCTCAGGCCACCAAAACGGATGCCCCCCACGCCTTGGCTGCACCTAGAAATCCTGTCCATAAAGTTTATGAACATAATCGGCGACAAAGGGCAGCCTTGGCGGAGTCCAACTCTCACTGGGAATGAGCCCGACTTACTGCCGGCAATGCGGACCAAGCTCTTGACACCGGTCATACAGGGACCTAACAGCCCGTATCAGAGGGCTTAGTACCCCATACTCCCGGAGTACCCCCCACATGGCCCCCCGAGGGAAGTGGTCAAATGCCTTCTCCAAATCCACAAAACACATGTAGATTGGTTGGGCAAATTCCCACGCACCTTCCAGGATCCCCCTAAGGGTATAGAGCTGGTCCAGTGTTCCATGGCCAGGACAAAAACCACATTGCTCCTCCTGAATCTGAGGTTCAACAATCCGACGGACCCTCCTGTCAAGAACCCCTGATAAGACCTTACCAGGAATGCTCAGGAGTGTGATCCCCCTGTAGTTGGAACACACCCTGCTAAGGGAACCACCACCCCGGTCTGCCAGTCCAGTGGGACTGCCCCCTGATGTCCACGCAATATTGCAGAGCTGTATCAGCCAACACAGCCTTAAGAAACTCCGGGCAGATCTCATCCACCCCTGGAGCCTTGCCACAGAGGAGCTTTTTAACCACCGCAGTGACCTCAGCAGCAGAGATTTGAGAGCCCAACTCAAAGTCCCCAGACTCTGCTTCCTCACTTGAAGGTGTGCCGATGGGATTGAGGAGATCTTCGAAGTATTCTGCCCACCGATCCACAACGTCCTGAGTAGAGGTCAGCAGCACATGATCCCCAATAGAGATATTGTTGGTAGTGCACTGCTTTCATCCCCTGAGGCGCCGGATGGTGGACCAGAATCTCCTCAAAGCCGTATGGAAGTCTTGCTCCATGGTCTCACCGAACTCCTCCCATGCCTGGGTTTTTGCCTCGGCGACCACCCGAGCCACATTCCGCTTGGACTGTCGGTACCCATCAGCTGCCTCTGGGGTCCCACAGGCCAAAACGACCTGATAGGACTCTTTCTTAACCTTGACAGCATCCCTAATCGCTGGTGTCCACCAGCGGGTTCGGGGGTTGCCACCACG